TTTCTCACCACCCACTTGGCCCAAAAAACATGATATCAGTTCAATCTTATCTGGAATTAGTCAGTACCAAAAAAACACAATATCATTATATAAGTCAAGGCAACCTGAAAAAAAAACGTTTCCTCTGGTAATCAAACCTGGCATGGAACTCCGCATCTTCAATGGGACAATTTATTAATTGGTAAACTATAAATGGTGGATGGTCCAAGTCCAGGTGTGTTGGTACAAGGGTCAAACACCATGGGCCTGACAATCAAGGATTGTTCTTCCGGCTTGGCAAAAAGGCAGCCACTTCGAACAAACACCACAATCCTTGGATTTGCTGAAGGTGCCATGCAAAAAAGATCTGACCTCACCGATGATAAAAAAAAACAGTCCAAAACTCCTTTGTTCAAGGTTTCTGACATATGATGAATGAGTTTACTGTCCGTCTAGCTGATGCAAATTCGGTCGAAGAACACTTGTGTCTGCGGTCGCCAAAACATTGCCACCAAACAGGTGACCAAAACCCCTGAACAAAGTGACCAGGTGGACCATCTGATGTCATGCCAGTCACGGGAAAAGCCGGAAGCTGTCCGAAACAGAAAAGCACCATCATGAGGACACCTGGCTATGGCTCAAAAATGATTCACCCCTTAGGATACAGAATGATACGTATTATGATATATATGCCTTATTAACATGTCATAATTAGTGGCAAAAAAATGAAATAACCAGATTTGTCGGTACATTGGTACCCCAATTTCGATACATGCCCGCATGTGAGCAAACCCAATGACACAGCAGCTGTGCCGTTGTAGAAGGAGATCCTTTGATGTTATGACATGTGCGAAATCAGAGCTTCCAGAGCCATATGTACACGTACGCAGTGTAAACACACATTCCCCACCTGTTCTGTCTGGTGTTTTCTCCTGGCCTTCATGGGTTTCCCTGGAAGTGGGAAAGAGCAGCAGAGATCTGGCTCGTCACGGCCAACCCAACTGACCAACGGTAACAGGTTATGGAAGTCGTAGTCTATCTGCATACCGATGCACAGCACCCTACATGGGAAAAACACCGATCGCCGCAATGCAGACAGCACAGCTGAAGTTTCCGGATGATTCCAAAATAATCATCTTACCTGAAGTCAGCTAAAAAGCTTCCAGAAAAAAAACAAGGTAAAACCGGCAACCTTGCAAAAACACAAGTTGCAACCCTGGTTCAGCAAGAGTAGACCCGACCCAAGATAGAACACTACCGCGTAGCGCAAGATCCGCGTAGGGAGAGGAGTAGAGATACCGAGGATCGAGGGAAGAACTAGAACACGCAGTAGGGTCAATACCGGACCACCAATACAAACCCACTGAAACATGTGAATGGTTGAAGTTGCCATAGAGTTTTACATTTTAAGACTTGTTTCATCTATAGAACTTGCACGCGCCGTGCGCGATCCAGGCCCGTGCGCGCGCGCTTCTTGCGAACCTGTTGCGCTGTTGCTGTCCAAGAGCATCACCTGCACGCGACCACGTTGCAACGCAATACCAAGCGACGCTTTGCGCTCCAAAGATCACACTTCACACTGCACTCTTCACACTCCGCACTTCACACAGCTCATGTTGCAGCTTAGTTTTAAACATTTCCGGTGTGCAATGAAACGATTTGCGGATGGTTCGCTTTGCAGCTGCGATGTGCGGGGGTCAAAGCACAGCGGTCGGAAGCATTGTCTATAACATGCTTCCGGCTTCTAGCTGCAGCTCTTCAAACCTAACCTGGTGTTGTCTGCAGACTTGTTTTCAATAATACTACTACAAGTGCATTTGTTGGTTTGAGGTCATCTTTGACAAGAGTTTTTACATGATTTGTTTACATGCATACACTTTGAAGCCTGCTGAGCAGGGTTGCTCCTCCCACGCTTTGGTGCAATCATCAAGTTCTGAAGACTGGTTTACGCACCATTCCTTAGGGCAACAACGGAATAATCCGGTTCCCAGAGCTGTGCTTCAAACCAACATTGAAGAGAACCAGCGTGACATGAAGTCATGCGAAGTGCGTGCTGGGGAAACATTGTTGTGTGGAGCTTACTGGGACCGCTGGCGACTGAGCGTACTGAGTGATTGAGACGCGCCAGCTCTGAGTTTTCTCACATGGCAAGTGAAGCTCTTAAAGCGACCACGTGTTTAACACGTTTCATCAATTTCTGTGAGACCTTCCAAGAGCTCTGTTGCAATCCAACCTTCAAGGACGACCAACGTGACGTGAAGTCATGCAAAGCATAGCTTCAGAGCCACCAGTCTGTGCGAATGTTGGGAAACACAAATGTCTGGTAGAGAAAGTGCTTGAAAGAATAAACGTGGCTCTCTACAGGCCTGACAGCAACTAGTGAAACTTGAGGCGTCTCATTTCTGGCTACTCAACGGCCTGCTCAGAAGCCAAGGCATGTGCCAAGACAGCTTCAGCTTCAAAGAGCAGCTGCCTCGTATAGCCACAGTTGCAGCATAGCTGGATGATTTCGGAATGTCCATTGCTCAGCAAATTCATTGAGTTGGAGCCTCGCAAGCCACTGCGCCAACTTTCTTGCAGCCTGAACAGAATGCATCGACCCTTGCGGCTTCACAGTGCAGTCTACGGTTTGAAGCTATCTACAAATGTTCTTGCGGCATGAATTGCCTACATACTTCATGCATGTCAAAGAATAAACGTGGCTCTCTACAGGCCTGACAGCAACTAGTGAAACTTGAGGCGTCTCATTTCTGGCTACCCAACGGCCTGCGCAGAAGCCAAGGCATGTGCCAAGACAGCTTCAGCTTCAAAGAGCAGCTGCCTCCTATAGCCACAGTTGCAGCATAGCTGGATGATTTCGGAATGTCCATTGCTCAGCAAATTCATTGAGTTGGAGCCTCGCAAGCCACTGCGCCAACTTTCTTGCAGCCTGAACAGAATGCATCGACCCTTGCGGCTTCACAGTGCAGTCTACGGTTTGAAGCTATCTACAAATGCTCTTGCGGCATGAGTTGCCTACATACTTCACGCATGTCCATTCGACAATATGCAATATATCATATAATATCACTTAATCGTTATCTCTACAATTTTCTATGGCATATGTCATTTGTTTGTACATAATACCCGTAAAAGGTCGCCACTTGAGATGTGCCAACTGCAGGCACCTGGACAGCTTTTGTTGTTTTCACTCACTCAGTGCGCTCGGCCGTCATCGATCCGAGCAAGTTCTGCAAGTCCGACACCGAAAGTTGACGAGCTGCCTGAAGGAGGGATCAAGGGTATAGAGTGCTGGGGATATCTTATCAACATCTCAATATATGGTCAATATTTTTGGCTATATCTCAGAAAGCAAATACATGGTGCCTTCAACAGGCAAGAACAAAACCAGACTGCGCCTTGACCAACTTGGCCTTTCGCTTCTGCGCGGCCTTCATGTGTGCTTTGTTAGCTTTGAAGGCCTGACATACGCCAAGCAGGGAAAGGTTGCAGACTGGAAGCACCAAACACCCATTTAACCCAAACACGAAGCTACCTCGCGCAGCTCTTGTCGTCGCTGCTTGAGCTCGGCAAGCTCAGCCTGCAGCACCTGCCCACACTTGCAATCACAGGCCATCACCGATCAATGATGGATAGCGCCGCTTGGACACAGAATATGCTTAAAGAATCCTAAAACAATGCACTCGCTGGCTCCCAAAAACTGGTTCTAAAATGACATTGAAATTCAGATACGTCATGTATCTCCCCCCACCCAGCTGTTGCATCTTTTCACCTGATCAAGGCAGAGCTACTGCTACCATCAGTTCAAGGTTCGGATGTATGGAATTAAGCTGTCATCACCAGCGCACTCTTTCACCCATGCTTCAATGTTGCCACTTCCAGCACCGCGGCTTGGGAAGATACACGATGCTTGCCCCACACTAGGGCGCCCAGCTGGAATCTTTGGACACTCATCCCATTGCAAGGCTTTCAATGCACGCGACGATATGCAATTCTGCTGCTTGGTCACTCCAGTTCCTTCAAAAGCCCGCTGCCAATCTCGATGCGAAAGCACTGTCTCCACTGCAGTGGCCATCACACGTAGCCATGCTTCTCGGGAAACAACACCTTCAGCAGCTTCGCTCTTTGTCTGCGTCCACTGCCGCCGGATCTCACAGCGTAGGGTGCGAAAAATATATGCATCAAGCGGTTGAAGTGTACCGGTAGCACCAGCCGGCACCACTAGGACTTGCAACCCCAATGTTTTGGCCAATGACCTCACAGTAGAATGGAGGTGGCATGCAGCACAGTCGAAGAGGAGCGTCAAAGGCTTTTCAGGGCAGTAAGATTGCCAATTTTCATGTAGAAGACGCAAATAGGAACACATGAATGCAGCAGTATTCCATGCGGTGGCACCACGCCAAATTTTCAATCGATCCGTGATTGCCGGATCCAAGGACTTCATAAATTTGATGGGAAACTGGGTCTTGTTGGCAATGATAACCTGCGGCAAGATTGCGTTGAAACCGAAATCTGTAGACACGGATGCTAAGAGCGTCATCCGGGACCTCTGGGTACTCAAAGATGCTCGCACTGCACCACGTACAGACCGCAAAACAGTACCTCGGCACCCTTCCACGTGCACAGCCAAAGAACATTCATCCATGTTGACCAAAATATTGTCTGGCGGGATGCAGTTGGCCCACCGGTAAAAAGAATAGGCCTGGCTTGCAAGCTCCAAAACAAAAATTGCTTCAAAAGCAGGCCCCAAAAAAGGGGTGCCAAAAATGAACCCTAAAAAGTTACCTGAGCCATGGGGACCTGAAATTGGGGTTCCAGAACTGCTTTCAAAATTGGGTACCAAACCGACCCAACCCGACCAAGTCCACGCCTTCTCCTGCAACACATGGATTGGCAAAGAAGCTGTGACAGGTAAGGTGCCTATGCGCCCGTTCCAAGCTTTCCAAAAACGTCTCAAATATGTCCGTTGGGATGGAAGGCCACCAGAGAAAGGCAAACACAGGCGGTTCTCTACAGCCTCTGGAAGGCCGTCCGGAACAAAGAGCAAAGCCTGTCTTACTAACTGCTGCCTTGTGGGGGCCACTCCATACTCGACATTTTGAGACCTGACCCAATCATGAAGCAGGTATTGTATAATGAAATCACAAGCCCGGTACAGCTCCGATGCAGGTGGGTCTGTGCTCAACCGAGCCATCAACGCTGCCGAAGTAGCGGCAAACAAAGCATCGAAGGCATCCTTCGCCGACACGGCCACCTGCACAATCACCAGAGGAGCAGCGCGAGCGAGGTAGGTAGCCGCGGCGTCCAAAGCATGATGCGACGTCTTTGCTTGGCTCCAAAGGTAGACCAGGAGCGCCTGTCTCACGCATGAAGCAGAGAGGCCGCTCCATGAGCCTTGCGACTCATCCAGCTGTATTCTCAAACTTCTCCTCACGGAGCGGATCCTGCGGCTCAAGCCCGCCAACTCAATTGAGCTCATGGCTGCACATACATGGCATCACATCTCAAAGTACTGCCCGCAGGTAGAATGCTATCATGTCAAGGTCACTTGCTGCCACTTTGAAAATTAGTTGTCAGTTCAAGACAGCAAGCTCTGGGGTCCCCATCCGTTAGTAAACTTTTTGGACTTGTGGAAATCAACGTTAACTTTGAAGCACTTGCTTGATGCGTTTGGTCAAAGCAGCGGTGCACACAGGAGCTGCGTTCTAGGTTCCCAAGTACAGCATGGGATGCTTTCTGGTTGCAACATAAAGCGTGGGCAAATCCAAGTGGAGGAGAAAAAAAATATATATATATATATATACAAACATTCTTTACGCAATTTTTTGCACACTGTGGGGAGACATCGGCTTGGCCCGGAACATGTGCAAATTTCAACCCCAGAAACCTGGCCCCACCCAAACACCATGCGCGCCTCCGGTGCGCGAGCTTTGGGTGGCATGCTCGGCAACGCAAGAGCTACCCACACGGCCAAGCTATGCCCCAAAAACACTGGAGCAAAAACGCAAAAGTGTTGGGACAAAAAAAGCTGTGCTGGAAGTGCTGGGGCAAAAAAGTCTACGCTGGACACGCAAGTCACACATTGGCACACTGCTTCCAAGAGATGTCAGCCTGCATGATTGCAGACATATAGAGATTGACGCATAGACAGATGGATCGGCGGCAGATAGACAAACAGGCAGACAGACAGACAGACAGGCAGGAATAGATGGGAAGGTGCCTTTGACCGCAGCAAGAAAACCTGGTTGGTTAGAGAACCCAGTTGGGACAGACACACACGGCTCACTGCGCTACGCTACTTTTGCGGGTCCAAAGCTGTCGAAGCGCTGCGACATCACAAGTTCTGTGAGAAGTTGGGCTATGGATAACTCCTTCGGAGATTCTAAGTCACCTCATGCCACCAAAATCAAAAACGTCTTCTTCATCCTGCTCTGCACTCAAGGCCAATTCTTCCAACTCAGCCTTTCTTTTTGCTTCCTCCGCAAAAAACGGGAAAATCATTTGGACAAATCTCTTGCTCACCATGATATAGATGCAAGGGCAAACTTTGGACCCGGAAATATTGCGTAGTGTCTGCGTTTGGGGAGTCTAGTACTGTCCAGACATGGTCTACCCCTTTCTGTGCACATGAGCGCGGACCAAAACTAGGGGTTACAAAGGCGGTCATGAGCAAAAGTTTATCGGTTTAGATCGTTCGCTATATCGATTTACATGCTTTTGGAGCATGACAAACGATGGCTCTTGATTTGGAGATCCATTTCCATTCATCTCCGCAGAATCCAAAATAGGTGGTCAGCAGTCTGCTGTCCACTGTTGGCTTCAAAGTGCAGAAGGAGTTTCCCGCAGAACTCAGAACAACTTGGTTTTGCACTGTTGCATGCCTACCTAGGTGGCTAAAGTAATGTAAAGTCATGTAAAGTCAACCCACCGCATGGGCACACCCATTCATGGTTGCTTCTCAAATACTGCGCCTGCCGCCTGCCACGTTCAAGCTGGCCATAGTTGCTTCTCAAATACTGCCCCTGCCACCTGCCACGTTCAAGATGGCCATAGTTGCTTCTCAAATACTGCCCCTGCCACCTGGCACGTTCAAGATGGCCATAGTTGCTTCTCAAATACTGCCCCTGCCACCTGCCACCTTCAAGCTGGCCATAGTTGCTTCTCAAATACTGTGCCTGCCAGTTGCCACGATCAAGCTGGCCATAGTTGCTTCTCAAATACTGCCCCTGCCACCTGCCAAGTTCAAGATGGCCATAGTTGCTTCTCAAATACTGCGCCTGCCAGTTGCCACGCTCAAGATGGCCATAGTTGCTTCTCAAATACTGCGCCTGCCAGTTGCCACGTTCAAGATGGCCATAGTTGCTTCTCAAACACTGCCCCTGCCAGTTGCCACGTTCAAGCTGGCCATAGTTGCTTCTCAAATACTGCGCCTGCCAGTTGCCACGTTCAAGATGGCCATAGTTGTTTCTCAAACACTGCCCGTGCCAGCTGCCACGTTCAAGATGGACATAATTGTTTCATAAGTACTGCGCCTGCGCACAATTTTTCTCATAAGATGGCATTTTTTATCTTACATTGTGTGGGTTCGATTTTTTTGCCACAGCATGGGTCATTAAATGTCCCCATTGAACATCACCCAACCATTAGGTATATGGTCTATAATGGCTACTATAAGGTGATGTCCAATATTCCCAAAATGGGACATTTACCAACCCCTGCACAGACATTTTTATAAGGTGCCATTTTTTTCAACTGTTTTGCTCCGATTTTTTTGGCAGCAGTCATTTTTATAAGGCGCGTTTTTTATCCTACGCTGTTTGGTTCAGTTTTTTTTGGCCACAATCATTTTTATAAGGTGCTATTTGTTTCAACTGTTTGGCTCCGTTTTTTTAGCAACAGTCATTTTATAAATTGAATTTTTTTATCTTGCACTGTGGCTCATTTTTTTTCGCCACAGTCATTTTTATAGGGTGCCATTTTTTTGTTTTCAACTGTCTGGTTCCGATTTTTTTGGTCACTGTCATTTTTATAAGGCGCAATTTTATCCTACGCTGTTTGGTTCAGACTTCTGTTGGCCACAGTCATTTTTATAAGGTGCCATTTTTTTCAACTGTTTGCTCCGGTTTTTTTGGCAACAGTGATTCTTTAAATTGCATTTATTTATCTTGCACTGTGTGGCTCAATTTTTTTGCCACAGACATTTTTATAAGGTGCCATTTTTTCCAACTGTTTGGCTCCGTTTTTTTTAGCAACAGTCATTTTATAAATTGCATTTTTTTATCTTGCACTGTGGCTCATTTTTTTTCGCCACAGTCATTTTTATAGGGTGCCATTTTTTGTTTTCAACTGTCTGGTTCCGATTTTTTTGGTCACTGTCATTTCTATAAGGCGCAATTTTATCCTACGCCGTTTGGTCCAGACTTTTGTTGGCCACAGTCATTTTTATAAGGTGCCATTTTTTTCAACTGTTTGGCTCCGGTTTTTTTGGCAACAGTGATTCTTTAAATTGCATTTATTTATCTTGCACTGTGTGGCTCAATTTTTTTTGCCACTGACATTTTTATAAGGTGCCATTTTTTCCAACTGTTTGGCTCCGTTTTTTTTAGCAACAGTCATTTTATAAATTGCATTTTTTTATCTTGCACTGTGGCTCATTTTTTTTCGCCACTGTCATTTTTATAGGGTGCCATTTTTTGTTCTCAACTGTCTGGTTCCGATTTTTTTGGTCACTGTCGTTTTTATAAGGCGCAATTTTATCCTACGCTGTTTGGGTCAGATTTTTTTGGCCACAGTCATTTTTATAAGGTGCCATTTTTTTCAACTGTTTGGCTCCGGTTTTTCTGGCAACAGTGATTCTTTAAATTGCATTTTTTTATCTTGCACTGTGTGGCTCATTTTTTTCGCCACAGACATTTTTATAAGGTGCCATTTTTATCTTCAACTGTTTGGCTCCGATTTTTTTGGTCACTGTCATTTTTATATAAGGCGCATTTTTTATCCCACGCTGTTTGGTTCAATTTGTTTTCGCCACTGTCGTTTTTATAAGGTGCCATATTTTTTTTCAACTGTTTTGCTCCCATTTTTTGGCAGCAGTTTTTTTATAAATTGCCATTTTTTATCTTACACTGTTAGGCTCAGATTTTTTTCGCCACAGTCATTTTTATAAGGTGCCATTTTTTATCTTCAACTGTTTGGCTCCGACTTTTTGGCCACGGTCATTTTTGTAAGGCGCATTTTTTGATCTTACACTGTTTGTCTCAGATTTTTTTGGGCACAAACATTTTTGTAGGGTGCCAATTTTTGTTTTCAACTGTTTGGTTCCCATTTTTTGGCCACTGTTGTGTTTATCAGGCGCATTTTTTTATCCTACGCTGTTTGACTCAGATCGTTTTGGCGCCGCCCAAACTCAAGATGACATAAGGTGCCTCTAAAATGCTGCGCGTGCCACTGCCTTCTCAAATACTCCGCGCCTGCCACTGCGCAACTTTAAGTTGCCATAGATAGTTACCCGGGCGCGTCCTTACGCTACACAATGAAAAAAAATCAAGAATTGTATCCATTGTTTTGATTTACTATTTTCGCAATTGTGTAGTGTAAGGGTTGCACTTACCAGATCTGCTTTAAGGTGCAGTTGCAAAAATTTTCGCCTCAAAAAAGGAGGCTAAAGTTCCTCGTAAGCATTTTGGAGAGGATTCCATATGCTCTATCATGTTTTTTTTCCCATCAGAGTTCATTTGTTCCTTTCAGCACCATCCAGTTATGCAGTCTAGCCTTGTGCCCATCGCTCACTAAGGCTTGGATCGTATTCCGCGCGAAGTTCTGCACTCCAGCAAGTTTCGGTGGAAACGAATCTCCCGTGCGAAGGACCTGCCGATTTGAACCAGGGGACATTACCCAACACGTAACCAGATGTATCTATTTATCTACGTAGTTTTCCGATGTTGAAATGGAGTTTTTTGTATGTACATGTCATGTACGTTTCATATGTTTGTTTATATATGTATATCCCAAATTCTTTTGTTGGGGTTTCTCACCACCCACCCACTTGGCCCAAAAAACATGATATCAGTTCAATCTTATCTGGAATTAGTCAGTACCAAAAAAACACAATATCATTATATAAGTCAAGGCAACCTGAAAAAAAAACGTTTCCTCTGGTAATCAAACCTGGCATGGAACTCCGCATCTTCAATGGGACAATTTATTAATTGGTAAACTATAAATGGTGGATGGTCCAAGTCCAGGTGTGTTGGTACAAGGGTCAAACACCATGGGCCTGACAATCAAGGATTGTTCTTCCGGCTTGGCAAAAAGGCAGCCACTTCGAACAAACACCACAATTCTTGGATTTGCTGAAGGTGCCATGCAAAAAAGATCTGACCTCACCGATGATAAAAAAAAACAGTCCAAAACTCTTTTGTTCAAGGTTTCTGACATATGATGGATGAGTTTACTGTCCGTCTAGCTGATGCAAATTCG